AAAAAATTAGCCGGGCATGGTGGCGCATGCCTGTAGTCCCAGCTACTCGGGAGGCTGAGGCAGGAGGATCGCTTGAGCTCAGGAGTTTGAGGTTGCTATGAGCTAGGATGATGCCACGGCACTCTAGCCCGGGCAACACAGTGAGACTCTGTCTCAAAAAAAAAAAAAAGAAAAAATGTGAACTTCCAGGTTGCACCTGCTGTCCCCGCTGGGATTTGGGCAGGGCACGTGAGCCTCGTGCCGAGCACCCACACCGAGAGGATGTGTGCGCAGACTTCCCTGTGCCTGTGCGAAGCCCTTGCTGGAGTCTACAGCTGCCTTTCAGACTTGGTTGGGTAGTTTGCATTGTCTGCCCACGGCATAGCTTTTTGGTGGGTAAAACAAGGTGGTCTGCGTACCCCTATTGAAAGGATGGCATATTTCTTTCCTTTGGTTGCATTTTTCTGCCAGAATGATTTTTTATGATTTTACAGTTTTATGCAGTCCAGAATTATTTGTATGACTGTGAAAAGTTTGAAAAGGCCGGGCTCTCCCTCCAGAGGGACCAGAGCTGGTTTCTTTTTACAGTAGGAGAGAGGCCCCCCACTCACCCTCAGCCCCACCTTCTGGAAGCATTTGACGTGCCCTCTGTAAGTCCTTACTGTGCAGCTCACACGTGGAGCGTGCATTGCTAGGCAGGACCAGACCGAACCAGAAAGCTGAGAGACGGCTGTCGGTCGGGAAGGCTGGCTGCAGGCAGGGAGGGCCAGGACTGTGCTCGGGAAGGAGGGGTGGGCGGAGAGGTTGCTCAGCGTTGTAGATCCTTTTCCTCATATTTAGCATGAAAGAATAACAACCTGCTTTTTTGAATACTGTACAATGATTTCTGAATCACTGGAGTCCAGTCAGTGTGGTTTTATTTTATTTATTTATTTATTTATTTTAAGACAGAGTCTCTCTCTCTGTTGCCCCAGCTATAGTGCAGTGGCGTCAGCCTCGCTCACAGCAACCTCAGACTCCTGGGCTTAAGCGATCCTCTTGCCTCAGCCTCCCGAGTAGCTGGGACTACAGGCATGTGCCACCATGCCCGACTAATTTTTTTCTATATATTTTTAGTTGTCCAGCTAATTTCTTTCTATTTTTTTTTTTTTTTTAGTAGAGTCAGGGTCTCACTCTTGCTCAGGCTGGTCTCGAACTCCTGAGCTCAAACGATCCACCCGCCTTGGCCTCCCAGAATGTGGTTTTAATATATGTAGCGGCACAACGAAGGAACATCCATCCTGTGTTTGATCAAATTTCAAAGGCCTTAAATTACCTTAGAAATAGTTACTTCATTTCACGTTAACTATCTTCATGTTTTTGGACGATGCAAAAAACCCTCATTCCTTCCTCCTGTCTTCTAGAGTCTGGCTGGAGAATCACAAGTAACTTTTTATAAATTCTACCTCGTTTGCCCACAGGATTGTTGTTAAGGGGCATAGATTAGAGCAGAGAGGAGGTTGGAACCCATTGCGATGGGGCAGACTGGGTTCTGTCGTGTTTTCAGAACAGAAAATAGCAACTCCCTGATTCCAGGATTCATTTCCTGTCTCGTAAGTGACGGTGGTGATGAGGAGCAGCATTCGCGGTCAGGTCTTTCTCACGCGGATGGGAGCCTGGTTCCCTCAAGTAGCTTTTTTGCTTCCAGATTCCCACTGTACCGACTGCACGTCCGTCAGCGCAGCTACCCCTGCGCCGGGGGCTGAGCGCGCCACGTGTGGGCAGGAGTTCTCCCTGCGTTCCTGCCGGGGACTCTTGGCCCTCGGGAGGCGTCTTTAGGGATGGCCCTTTTCACGGTTGGAGTGTTGTACGTTACCCATCTGGGTTTGCCTTTCTTAATCCACGGTCTTGGAATCTACCTTCTCCTCCAGTCTTTAAAAAGTTCGAGTGCAGTTGCCAAAGGTTTTCCTTCTCCCCTGTCCTTGGTGGGACACCAGCGGCAGTCGTAGTTGATTTTCTGGAAGAATTGACGGAAAGGTCAGTTATCAGGTAAACCCAACAATGAAACACCATAGCAACTACCTGTGGTTACTAAAATGTTCCAGATCTCATCTAATACATGTATTTGTAAACAGTTTCACAGATCACGGCCTAGGTTGCCCCTCTCTGCGGCCCGTGAAGTAACCACGCTCACCGAGCTCAGAGGCACTAAGTCATGGCCTGTGACTAGTGTGGCCCCTGACCAGCCCTGAGATTGGTTGTGAAGTGTTATTTATATTTGATTTCTTCACCGCCTTGACAATTCGGAATTTCAGGCGTGGCTTGGAATTCTTTGGGAAGGTTACTTGGGGAATTTTTAGAAATGGTTTTTGGGTAGCCTCAAATTTCAAGTTACTACTTCAGTAGTTTAATTTTAAATTTATACATCAATGTAAACTCATGAGATGTCCATACGAGTCCATGACTTTGATCCAGCTGCGGCCTGAGCGCTGCGGCCCGAATCGGGTCGCTGGGCCTTTCCTCGGACGTCTGTCAACCTTGGAAAGAATGATGGACAAGGAGTTGAGAGAGGAGTTTTCTCTTTATACCTTATGAAAGTATCATGAGGATCAAATAAAAAACCATATAATGAAGGTACTTAGCAGCGTACTCTGTTACTGAAGATGGTGTCGATAATAATTCTCAACCTTTTGCTCATTTTTCCCTTTTGCTGGTTTGCCACACACTGTTTACTGGATTGATTTACTTTCAATGGCATGACAGTTCTATAAGGTAATTCTGTGCAAAAAAGTATTTTAAAGGAGGCTTCTGTCGGCTCTGTTTGTCTTCACACAGGGAGAGGTTGGCAGGTAGGCCGCTGACCCCGCCCGGAAGAGCTGAAGCGACAGAGCAGCGGCCTTGGTCTCCCGCCCTGAGAGGAGTGGGAGCCGGAAGCGGCCTCTGTGCAGAGTCCTCGCCGCTGCGCTGCGCGCCCACTGCGCGTGTCCTTCCCTCCCTAGACGCCTCCGGAGGGGCTCACACCGCGAGCTGCGGCGTCCCTCTGAGCGTGGTCGCCGGGGGAAGAGGCTGCTCCTTCTGCCAGCGCTGCTCTTAGCTTCACTCTGGGCTCTGCAGGGGCTGAACGCCGAGGTCTCGGCCTTGCAGGGCCTGTTTCTATTTCTGAGCAAAGAAATATATGAATTCTACGTATTTTTTTATGTTTCATAGAATTCAATTCGCCACAATCTCTCTCTGAATCGTTATTTCATCAAAGTACCACGTTCCCAGGAAGAACCAGGCAAAGGCTCATTCTGGAGGATAGATCCTGCCTCTGAAAGCAAATTAATAGAACAGGCTTTTAGGAAAAGACGGCCTAGGGGCGTACCTTGCTTTAGAACCCCTCTGGGACCGCTCTCTTCTAGGTAAGGAAAAAAGAGGAACAAAAAGGCCTCACTGAATGGTCAGTAAACTCACCTTCAATGTATTGGTAAATTTTCCTTTGAAAATGAAGGAACTACCAAATGCATTATGACTAAATACTGGGATGGGGATTTGAAAGAGAAGTGTTGGGTGCCACCCCGTGCTCTTGTGTCTGGTGTCCGAACATGTGGACTGTTGGCAGTTTCCTTATGCTCCATTCCCACGTGGTGGTTGTCGCTTCATTGAATTCATGGCATGTCGTTGAACGACTGGATACCGCTTACTTGAGTTGGCAGTTGTAACGATGCCATGTTGATGTTTTTCCCTTTCCTTTGACATGCAAAAAGTTCTTTGAAACTACCTTTTAGCAGCTTAAACTCAAGACTGACTTACATACGGTGTTAATTTGCCTGATTTTAAAATTACACATTTTTAGCCTCCTTAATATTCTGTTTTTAACCAAAGAAGTGAGCATGATGTAAGTCTGAAGCCCCTTGAGCTCTCCTGCTGCCGTGGCCTGTGGTCCGTGCTGGGCGAGGGGCACCGTGGCTCTGCCACAGGCCGTGCGAGTCCCACGGAGCTCCCAGTGTAAGACTTGAGCAACCATGGCAGGTCGGCAGGACCCCAATGACACCCCCTTCGCAAAGTGCACTTACTAGAGTGAGAAGCGCTTTTGGGGCGCGTCACTCGTAAGACTACAATGTCATATTCTTGGTGCCGCAGGAGTGCCCCGGCCTCTCCCAATCACGCCGGAGTGCTGTCCGCTCACTCCAGCGGGGCCCAGACCCCCGAGAGCCTGTCGAGGGAAGGTTCGCCGGCACCCCTGGAGCCTGAGCCTGGCGTCTCACAGCCCAAACTCGCCGTCATCCAGGAAGCCCAGTTTGCCCAGAGCGCACCAGGTGAGACACCCGGCGAGAGTCAGAGGCAGGTGGGGCTGAGCTCCGCAGTGGCCGAAGCTCCAGAACAGGCCTGTGTGTCTTTGTACCTTGTGCCTGATGCTTTCTCTCTAGTGCCTGAGTGCTGCTGTCTAGGCCTTGGGAAGCTGATAGCACAGCAAGTGTTCTTTAAATGACACTGTGTGTAGATGCCTGAAATTATTTAGAATTAACCTGGGTTTCAGTTGCCTGGTCTTTCAAAAATCCGTGAAAAAGGTTCCCGCCCCCAAAAACCCATAATCAGAGAAACTAGACACTGATTGGAAGCAGTGACATGTCCATTTAATGAACAGGTGGACACTTTGCAGTTTACTTACAAAGTCATAATATGGAGTAAAAGTGTGTGCCTTGAGGAATTTTTTTAAAAAATGCCTGCTGTGGAAACATGTCCAAACTAATTATGCTATAGTTGAGAAAATGTGCGTTTTGATCAATTGGGGTCCCAGCCGTGCTGGCCCAGAGCACACCCAGTGCGCCGTCAGCAGCACCTGGCGATCTGGCATCTTCCTCTTCAGTCTCAGCCCCCAAGCCAGAGGGCAGAGGTCGAGGGCGCAGGCTCTGTCATAGCCCGACTCTGTTTCTGAACCTTGTGCTCCCTCCACCCAGTGCAAGGGGAGCTGTCGGTCTCCAGCGGGTGTGGCCCTGGTCTTTTAGGCCCACGGGGCCGGTTTCTTATGTTGTGTATTGACATTTCCTTCCTCCCTCCCTCCCTCTGGTAACTTTATTAAAGCAAAGAACTGAACGTGATTTTCAGGACTACATTTCCATCATCTCTTCTAACTGACATCTTCACTGAGAAATTGTGCAAGACATTTCCTTTTTCATGAAGAAAGGACTGTGGGAAGAGGTGCTATCAGAAATCTATTTAGAGCAGAAATTGCATTAATAGCACTTGAATATAGGATAGGAATTAAATGTGCCTATTAAAATACTATAGTTCTCTTGTCATTTGTAACTTTACCTTTAGGAGGTGAAATGGGGCACATCCTGTATTTTAAATTTAAATTCAGCCTTGTTTTTAAGCACGTATGTGGGGGACATGGAGAAGTAAAGGACCGTGTGCCTCAGTGCTGCTTGTCTCCTGTCTGCAGGGTCCCCGCTGTCCAGCCAGCCAGTCTTAATCGCCGTCCAGCGACAGCTACCACAGGCAGTTAAGCCTGTCACCTACACCGTTGCAACCCCGGTGACCACCGCCACCTCCCAGCCACCCGTTGTGCAGACAGTTCACGTCGTCCACCAGATACCAGCAGTGTCGGTCGCCAGCGTGGCTGGACTGGCCCCAGCAAACACGTACACTGTCGCCGGACAGGCCGTGGTCACTCAGGCGACTGTGCTGGCTCCCCCCAAGGCCGAACCGCAAGAGAACGGAGATCACAGGGAAGCGAAAGGTGGGCCGGGGACAGGCAGCTCCCATCAGCTTCACACTCCTGGAGACCCACGAGGTTGCTCATCTTGGCCCCTTTTCTAATTTGCTGTTAGTTCTAAAGACAGTCCCAGCTACTCGGGAGGCTGAGGCGGGAGGATCGCCTAAGCCCATGAGTTGGAGGCTGCAGTGAGCTGTGATGACACCACTGCACTCCAGCCAGGTGACAGAGTGAGACCCTGTCTCCAAAAAAAGACATTTAATAGCAGGGCTGATAGCATCTGAGTATGTTATTTTAAACTGGTGAGATTTTTATCAGTTTTTAAGTAATATTAATTGGTGTTGTTTGTTTTGTTTTCTTTTTTTTCTAATTTCAGTGAAAGTAGAACCTATTCCCGCAATTAGCCATGCCACATTAGGCGCTGCTAGCCGGATCATTCAGCCATCACAGACCACCCCTGTCCAGACGGTCACCATAGTACAACAGGCACCTCTAGGTCAACACCAGCTACCAATAAAAACTGTAACGCAAAATGGGACACACGTGGTACCAATCCCCACTGCGGTCCACGGCCCGGTGAACAATGGTAAGAAATTGCTGCTCCTGTGGGTGCTGGTACCAAACGCAGAGACCCTCTACTCCATGAGAGGAGATGTTTGGTGTTTTGGTTCTGTTAGTTTTAATTTCCTGGGGAAACGTTTGTGTTTCTAAGCTGTAGGAAATCTAATACTTCTGCTGTTGTTAGGAGAACTAGGAAGTGTTTGTGGCAGTCAGCTGTTGTGGACTCCCACTGGAGGAGGCTCTGAAAAGAGAGACAAGTTTCCAACACCTTGAGAGAGAAAAACACTCAACTTCTGTAGATAGCTGGGTGCAGCCTAGAAGCAGCCTGAAACCCAGGGGGTAGAACATAACTGTAGAATCCCTTGTGCTGTGCCAGGACGCGGCGCACGGCACTGTCCTCCCACGGGAGTGTCTCTGCTCAAGGGCGTTTCTGACGGTGGGAGTAGAGAACACGGCTCCTCTGCCCTGTGCTCTGAAAGCCCTTTGGAGACCCATGCAGGTAACGCCACGAGTGTTCTGACGTGGACAGTGGGAAGACAGCCTCCTCCTCAGCACGACAACCTGCCTCCGCCCTGCCCTGCGGAGCTGTGCAAAGGGTCAGAGTCCTAAGTTGACGCAGGAGTTTAGGGTCCTCAGAGCTGGTGCTAACAAAGGTTTCGGCAGCAGGGGCCCAGCCCAGGTGTGTGCAACCTGCTATGTCGTGTGAAGGTGTGGGCCGTCGTGCCACGTGGGCTGATCCTGGCGCCTGCAGGACATCAAGCAGTAGAATCAGAGGCTCCCAACCCAAACTGACACTCTGTGCCACAAGGTAATTTCTTTGAAAGAGGGTAGCAGTCAGTTACCAGTTTAAAATGCCTTTTTCCTCAGCCCTGTGTCCCCTCAGTAACGAAAGGCTACCGAGGCCCTGTTCTGCTTTTCTCTCAATAACTCACTCTGGTCCTGGGTGGTCCAGTATGAAACCTGGTAGCCCCTCGAGCAGCTGGGTGTACATTGAAGGAGAGACCCTGGTCATTCTTCCCAGCGTCAAGGCATGTGGTGCAGGCAGCCAGTAGCTCCCGATGTCCAGTGGGTCAGCACTGCCTGGGGAGCGTACTGGGCCCAGGGTGCTGGCGTCCCCAGTTTTCAACCAGACAGGCCTGGCAGGGGCCAAGGACATGCATTTCTAACGCACCCAGGGCTGCCGAGAACCACTGGTGCAGGTCAGAGGCTTTGCTCTTAGAAGGAGTTTGAAAACCTGTATTCCTTTCACATATCTAAGTGGACAACTAAAATGTTGCAGTGTATTAATAAATTTAAACAAGGGTTTTAATTTTCCACTATTGAAAGTATTGTTTTAAAATAAAACTTTCACTTCATTATTTCGTATGTACTCCTGGACTCTAAACACGGCTGTGACTAGACACCCGCAGCAGCCGTGCACGCCCTGGGCCTGGGACTGGCCGTTGCACTCACGCCCCACACACTGTGCGAGTCACAGGTGTACTTCGTGCTCACGTGTCACTAATCGTATCTTTGCACTGTAACAATAAAATATAGATACAAAATCGCACATTTTTATAGCTAGAGAGAAAAAATACAGATATAAATATTGAGATGTATTTGTGAGTAAAAGGATCGACTTATCTATTATTACTACAGAATTGATCAAAACCAAAAATGTAATAAATTCTTATAAAAACAGAAATTAAAATTTTTCTGAAGATGCATTGCTTAATATCTCAAGACTTTAAACGCTTGTAATCCCAGCACTTTGGGAGGCTGAGCTGAGAGGATCGCTTGAGCCCAGGAGTGTGAGGCTGCAGGGAGCTATGATGACACCACTGCACTCCAGCCTGGGTGACAGAGCAAGACCCTGTCTCTAAAACAGAAAGAGGAGGGACAGAGGAGATGCGGAAGCTCCTCCCAGCTACCTGTGAAAGTCAGTCAGTGATCGTTTAACCAATGACTTCGCTGATCTCTCAGTGGGAAATCCTATTGATTGTTTAATTTGGTTGAAATCTTCGACTTAGGAACCACTTGGTTTGAAAAAGGATTTATTTCTGGGAGATAATAATTCAGCTTCACAACACCAGTATATTCCATTATTCCTTTGTTTCGTGCTCCATCCCAGAGGCAGTGAGAGGGGAGGCTGTGGAGGAAGAGGAGGTGGTGGGTCAGCTTTAAGGAAGACCCGTCACCACGGAGAGCCCCTGGGAGTGGCCTTCCTTGCCGCAGTGTCAGGTGCAGCTTAGATGTCGAATACCTGGTGTGAAGGCCACTGCTTGGGTGGCCCGAATTTTGACCTCCTTCACCCTTGAAAATCCTTCTTGAGAAGGGAAAGTGGTATGTGTTTTTAGTACATTTTGATAATCAGAAGCTCTGCTGTTTTTTTATTATTTTATTTTTCTTTTTGAGACAGAGTTTTGCTCTGTCACCCAGGCCGGAGAGCAGTGATGTGATCACAGCTCACTGCAGCCTCCAACTCCTGGGCTCAGACGATTCTACCACGTCAGGCGTCCCAGGTAGTTGGGACTACAGGCGTGCGCCACACACCTGGCTGATTTTCTTATTTCTTTGTAGAGACAGAGTCTTGCTGTGTTGCCCAGACTGGTCTCAAACTCCTGGCCTCAAGTGATCTTTCTGCCTCAGCCTCCCAAAGTGCTGGGATTACAGGCGTGAGCCACCGCACCTGGCTGGGATTGTCTTTTAATAGATAAGCACAATGCTGTCATTATACTTTTAAAAATCAATAACAATTCCTTTATACACAGCAGCTCATTAGGGTTCAAATTATCCTTTTTTTTCAATTGTGAAATGTACATAATATAAAATTTACCATTTTAACTATTTCAGAGTGTACAGTTCATTGATATTAAGGACATCCACAGTGTTTTGAAACCATCACATCTATCTAATTCAAAAACATTTTCAACACCCGAAAGGACACCCAGCCCCCGTAAGCAGCCACTCCTACACCCTCCTCCTTGAGGTCTGGTAACCTCTGACCTGCCTTCCCTGGATGTGCCCTTCCTGGACCTTTCCTGGGCATGGAGCCATCTGATCTGTGGCTTTTCCTGTCTGGCTGCTGCTACTTTGCATAACGTATCCGAGGTCGATCCGTGTTGCAACTTTTATCAATACTCCATTCATTTTTGTGGCCAAATACTGTTCCTTTACCATGCTGTGTGTTCATTTGTCAGTTGACGGACACGCAGTTTGTTTCCACAGTTAGGCTATTGCGAATCGTGTTGCTACGAACATGCACGCACACGTATTTGTTTGAATCCCTGTTTCCATTTCTTTTGGACCTAGGGGTGGAATGCCTGCGTCATGTGGTAAATCTGTGTTTGATTATTGAGTAACCGCCGAACTGTTCTTCACAGCAGGGGGACTTTTTCACATTCCTGTTGACAGCCAGGTTCCTTGTTTGTCCGTTTTCACTTGTGGACCAACAGCACTTGTTCACTTCCTATTTGTTTTTATCATGATCGTTTTAGTGCCATGGTGGGCGTGAGGTGGTACCTCGTGGTGGCTTTGACTTGCGTTTGCTGATGGCGGGTTGTGTTGGGCATCTGGTCCTGTGCGTGCTGGTTATTTGAATATTCTCTCTGCGGAAATGTCCACGTAGGTCCTGTGCCGTCTTTTAATTGGGCGTTGTATCTTTTTGTTTTGGAGTTGTAGATTTTTACGTATTCTGGATGCCAGACTCGTATCGGACACACAGTGTACTTCGGAGACGCTGTGGGCTTGGTTCCAGACCACCACAGCAAAGCAAGTCACCCAGTTGTTTGGTTTCCCCGTGTGCGTAAAGGTCGTGTTTACGCTGTACTATAGTTTTTTAAACGCATAATAACAGTGTTTAGGAAAACAATATACATACCTTAATTTAAAAGTACGGCTGAACATCACCAACGATCACTTGAGGCTTCAGCGGGTCATCCTGTCTGCTGACTGGCCAGGGAGGGGGTTGCTGAAGGTGGGGCAGCTGTGTCGATTTTTAAAAAATAAGACAGTGGAGTTTGCCACATTCATTGACATTTCCTTTCATGAGAGATTCTTCTGTAGCATGCTGTGCTATTCGATAGCATTTTAACCTCAGTAGAACTTCATTTAAAATTAGAATTAACCCTTTCAAACCTGCTGCTGCTTTTCCAGCTAAGTCTGTGTGATGTGCCGAATCCTTTGCTGTCATTTCAACAGTGTTCACAGCATCTTCACCGGGAGTAGATTCCATCTCAGGAAGCCACTTTCTTTGCTCATCCATAGGAAGCAGCTCCTCACCTGTTCCAGGTTTTATCCCGAGATTGCATCAGTTGAATCAGACCTTTGGGCTTCACGTCTAATCCTAGTTCTCTTCCTATTTCCACTGCATCTGCCATGGCTTCCTCCTTGGAAGTCTTGAACCCTGCCAAGTCATCCATGAAGGTTGGAATCAACCTCTTCAAACTTTTTTTTTTTTCTCCCTGAGACAGGGTCTCGCTCTGTTGCCAGGACTGGAGCGCAGTGGTGTGATCACAGCTCACTGCAGCCTCCAACTGCTGGGCTTAAGCCATCCTCCTGCCTCAGTCTCCCCAAGTAGCTGGGACTGCAGGCATGAGCCACCATGCCCAGCTAATTTTTCTATTTTTTGTAGAGACTGGGTCTCACTCTTGCTCAGGTTGGTCTCGAACTCCTGAGCTCAAGTGATCCTCCCGTCTCGGCCTCTCAGAGTCTTAGGATTACAGGTGTGAGCCACCACACCAGGCCCCAAACTCTTCTTAGTGTTCATATTTGGACCTCCTCCCATGAGTCATGAGTGTTCTTAATGGCATCTAGAATGGTGAATCCTTTCCAGAAGGTTTTCTGTTTACTTTGCCCAGATCCATCAGAGGAATTATTGTCTATGGTAGCTGTAGCCTCACGAAATGTATTTCGTAAGTAGTAAGACTTGAAGTTATCCCTTGATCCCTGGGCTGCAGAATGGATGCTGTGTGAGCAGCATGAAAACGGCGTGAATCTCCTTGTGCGTCTCCATCAGAGCTCTGGGGTGAGGAGGCGCGTTGTCAGTAGTGATGTTCTGAAAGGAATCTCTTCCTGAGCAGCAGGTCTCAGCAGTGCGTTTGAAGTATCGAGGACACCGTGCCGTAAACAGATGTGCTGTCACCGGGCTTCGCTGCATTCATCGAGCACGGCAGAGCAGGTGGAGCGTAATTCTCAAGGGCCCTGGGATTCTGGAACGTCAGACGAGCACCGGCTCCAGCTCAGTCTCCAGCCTTCTCGGCCCCTGACGGGAGAGTCGGCCTGCGCCGTGAAGCTTCGAGGCCGGGAGTTGCCCTCTCCTCTCGCACGTGAGAGTCCAGATGGGCACCTTCTTCCCCGGGAAGGCTGTTGCGTCTCCCCTGAAGATGTGTTTGCTGTAGCCGCCGTCTCCACTGGGCTTCGCTGGGTCTTCGGCATAAACTGCCGTAGTTTCTGCATCAGCACCTGCTGCTCCGCCCCGCGCTCGCACGTTAGGGAGACGGCGTCTTGCCTTAAACCTCGCGACCCGGCCTGTGCCAGCTCCACCTTTTCTTCTGCAGCTCCCTCGGCCGTCGCGGGGCCGCGAGACTCAGGGCCCGGCTGGATCAGGGTCGGCTCGAGGGAGTGTCGCGGCCGGTGTGATCTCTGTCCTCGTCACTCAGACTTGCTCCGTGTCGGCAACGAGGCTGTTTCATTTTCTCACCACCCGCGTTCCCTGGAGCAGCGCTTCGGATTTCTTTCCGGAACTTCTCTCTTGTGCATTTACAGTGTGGCCGACTGGCTCGAGAGGCCCAGCTTTCGGCCTGGCCTGGCCTTCGACAGGCCTTCCTCACTGAGCTGTCGCTCCTGGCTTTGATGCAGGGTGACAGGCGTGTGAACACTTAGAGGCCACCGTAGGGTTCCTGACTGGCCCAGTTTCAACACTGTTGCGTCTCAGGGCGCAGGGAGGCACGAGGAGAGGGAGTGGGACGGGGAACAGCTGGCGGGTGGCGCAGGCGGAGCACAGGACGTTCAATTCACTGTCTTACACGGTGGGGTCCACGGAGCCCCCCACAATTACCATAGTGACATCAGCATTCACTGACCACAGATCACCATAACAGATAAAGTAATAATGAAAAGTTTAAAATATTGGGAAAATTACCAAAATGTGACGCAGAGACGCAAAGTGAGCACGAGCTACTGGCAGAACGGTCCTGGGAGCTGGCTCCGCGCAGGCTGCCACAGACCTTCGGTGTGTGAACCACGCCGTGTCTGCAAAGCACAGTGGGATGAGGAGTGCCTGTTACCACACCGCGGATGTGCGGGGTCTAACACGGCGCGCCTTTGCCACAGGAAGATTAAGTTACAAGTTAAAAATATAAAAGTCCTCACAAAGTAAGACATGCTCTTTATTATTGTTATTTTTCGAGACAGGGTCTTGCTCTGTCACCCGGCCTGGAGTGCAGTAGCGCAGTGAAGCTCTCCGTAAGCTCCAGCTCCCGGGCTCACGTGACCCCCCCTGCCTCAGCCTCCCGAGCGGCTGGGACTGCAGGTGCCACCATACCCAGCTAATTTTTAAAAATTTTTTTGTAGAAACGGTGTCTCACTATGTTGCCCAGGCCTCTGATTGATTTTTATGCCATCTTATGTTCTGTGAGGTTTTCGATTACACTTAATCCAGATCCTGGTGAGAGTTAGGCTCAGTCCATTTCACGCTGCCACATGGCACCTGAGCCTGGCTCGCGGTTCTGGAGGTGGGGACGCCCGGCGTCCAGTCCTGACATCTGGCGAGGGCCTCCTTGCTGTGTCCTCATGTGGTGGTAGAGTTCAGTCTTCTATAACAAATCCATTCCCACAGTAATGAACTTACCCCTTGCCGATGGCGTTAATCTGTTCGTGAGGGCACAACCCTTGTTCTCTAATCACCTTCTAAAGTCCCACCTCTTGCACTGTGACAATGGCCGTTAAATGTCAGCATGAGTTTCGAAGAGAAACCACAGCAGTGACCTCGTCTCTGGCGCGGTATCCGTGTTGCACAGACATGGCTGGGCACACGCATCCGGGTGCGCGTGTGCCTTCTCTGTGGGGAGACCCCGCATCAGGCATCCGTAAACCTCCCTCGAGACGGGCGGCTTCCCCCAGGATGCCGGGACCAGCAGCTCCTCCAGTTCCCGCGGGGGTCTCAGCTGCGTCCTGGGCCCCACCTGTCCTCCCTCGGGCGTTGGGCTCCGGGCCTCTTCCTCAGCCCGGTTTCCTGCTTTCGGGTGGCTGCGAGTGACCTCTGTGCTCGCCTGTTTCTGTTTCAGCGCATCTCTCCTGGTGTCTCTGTCACGCGGCAGGGGAGAAGGGAACCCCCGAGTGAAGTCGAACACCTCAGGCTGCTAAGGAGGGGTTGAGCGTTTTCTGGGGGAATCCGCTCTCCTGTCCAGGTCCTGGCTGGATCTAGAGTCACAAATAAGGGAAAGCTCACGTGCCAAAGCCAGAGCAAACGCCTCCATTGGGCAGTGGGACTGCGTCTGGAATCCCGAGACAGGACTCAGGTGGCTGAGGCCTGGGGACTTTTATGGCCACCTCTCAGACCAGGTGCAGCAGGGTTTCTGTCTGCTGCCTGGGTCCCTCCCGGACTCGTCGCAAGTGCTGCTCTGCACGTGGCCCCAGCTGCCCGAGCACCCGAGTTTGAGCCCGAGATCCCAGAGCTGGCTGGGCTCTACATCCACTCTGTCGGGGAAGAGCCACCAACGCAGGTTAGGTCCATGAGCGGGGCACCCTGAGGACAGGTAGGTGCTGCCACGCTAGTGCCTACGGCCTGGCGGGCTCAGCCCAGACGGGGGCAGCAGGACAGAGCATGCCGCGGTGCAGGGGAGCAGGGTTTTGGCTGTTGTGGTTGTGTTTGGCGCTGTAGTCATGTGTGACAGGTCCACCCTGTGGGTGTGTCCACTCTGGAGTGTCTGTGACAGCTTGCAGGGCTGAAGCTCTACAGCGGGGCCCAGGGCCATCCCAGGGGAGTGTGTCCAGGTCCCCTTCCCAGGGCACTGTGAGTTGGCTCCAGGGGGTCTGAGGTTGCAGAAGGTGGCTTGGGGGCGCGTTTGCTCGGTCTGGGCTCGGTCAGCTGAGAAGTGCCCTTTGATGAGATGGTGGCGCGTTCCAGAAATGTCTCCACCTGTGCTTGGAGCTGGAGACGGCCGGATCCCATTGGCACCTGTGTCAGGGTCTCCAGAGAAATGGAACCTGGAACCAGCAGGGGCGTGGAGTGCAGAGGGGAGGACAGAGGCGGGATGTCCGGCTGCGGGTTTAAGGAACGTGCATAGGCTGCAGCTGGCGGAGATGTGGCAGCGTCAGTGCTGCAGCTGCGGTGGGGCAGTTCTTTCCCCTCTGCGACCTCGGCGCATCCCGAGTCCTGCAGCGACTAGACAAGGCCCACCTAGCCGTGGCTGGTGACCTCAGAGTTTACTGATTTAAATGTCATGTAAAAAACATACCTGTACAGAAACATCCAGAATAATATTTGACCAAATACCTGGGTGCCGTGGCTCTACCAGGTTGACACATGACATACCTGTCACATCTCAGTTGGAAACTCGGCCTTTAAAATCATTAAGTGTGATTAGCGGTGCAGACTCTTTCCTTCCTGTTGTCACACCACACGCCTGCGCGCTGACCTGGCCTGTGCAGGTGAGCGGCACCTGGGTGGCGTTCGGTGCTGCTCTCCCAACCCAGAGCGAGCCGGCCCTGCTCCTGTGGGATGAGCCAGTAGCGTCCCCCGGGGGTGTGAGGGCCCTCTGCCCGGGGAGAACGTCCGCACTCCCCGTTGCTGGACAGCAAAGCCCCTTCCTGTCTGTCCCAGTCTCTCCTCGACTGCGCCTGTGTCCCTCAGCACTGACGCCGAAACAGCCCACTCACTGAGGGACACACAAGGCCTGGGAACAGGAGCGGCCGCTGATCGGGCGGTCGGCCTGTGCGGTGCCTCGTGCTGCCTGGGGGTGCCGGGGTGTCCTTGTGGGGTGTGGCTCCATCCAGGGCGGGGTCCTGACTCACTTGTCTCTTCTCAGCAGCGGCAAGTCCTTTGCACATGCTGGCGGCGCACGCGTCAGCCTCGGCCTCCCTGCCCACCAAGCGCCAGAGCGGCGGCCCGCCAGAGCAGCCGGAGCTGAAGCGGGTCAAGACGGAGGACGGCGAGAGCATCGTCATCGCCCTGAGTGTGGACGCGCCGCCGGCAGCCGTGAGGGAAAAGGGCGTCCAGAACTAGCGACAGGGAGAGCTTTTCTGACTTCAAAATATCAACTTTGTGGTGCCAAAGGGAGACATTTCCTCTCACCGATGCTCAGCGCGTCTCCCGGTGGGTAAAGGGCCCTGCGGTTGGACTTCACCTCTCAGCACTGAAATACAAAACCCAGGCGGCCTTAAAACTCCTTAATTTAAAGACAGAAATCGCACTTGAACAAAATCACGCACAGCAAAACTGGGTCTGGAGGCGGTGTGTCCGCCGCCGGCACTCGCTGTGCTGCCGCTTCTGGGCGCAGCTTTTAACTGCAAGTGAAAAAGCTCACGGTCCTTCCGGACGACGAGCTCCTCCGTGTGAGGACGGCGCGGCCGTCGGCGCCTGGTGCGGGCGAACCCCCGGCGCTGGGCCTCCTGGGGCCCAGAGGACCCACCGGCGGGCGCTGGGAGGCCAGACAGTGTTTCGTTGTTCTCATGTGGAATTAGAATATTTCGAGGTGTACTTTCTTCACAGAATAATGGGGTCTTTGGCATTTCACATCACTCCATTTCTGCTCTGGAAATTTTGGAATCACACAGAACTTCTCGTGGATTTCATTTGGGGAAAAGAAACAGCATAGTTTTGTGTTCTGTTGTTTGTTTTCAGCCTATGGAGTGATTTACTTTGTCCTGTTAAAGCTCGGATGGAGCTACCGATGGCAGCTGCAGGCTGTCGGGCTAGAGCAGCTGCCGATGAATTCACCCCCCCTTCAGCGCGCGGGACGGGCGCGGTGCTGCGGCTGCACGAGGCTGGGACTCCAGGGACAGGCCTGTGACGGGACGAGCTGCGACCCATCCCAACTGCACTTACTGTTACCTTTCTTGCTACTTTTTGTTGTTTGTTTCTTTGTGTTGACTTTGTCCCTGGCAAAATATTTTCACTCTAAGTAAAACCAGTCTCCTGAGTATCGTGTACGTGTAAAACGCAGAGCCATCACTGCTCCGTTTGGAAACAGGTTTCTCTTACCACTCACCTTTTCAGACAGACCACGGCTGTCTCTGTGGCACGCGTGGCGTTGCAGGTGTCCTCACCAGCTCCAGCGTCGCCCGGCCAGCTGTCCACTGATCACGTTGCCGTCCTCCCTCCTCGTGGCGGGGTGGCAGGGTGGGAGCTGCGTGTCACTCCCAGAGTCTGCGCGAGGCCCCCGAGGGGAGGTGCTGGAACGTGTAGGCCGATTTGCAGTGGGAGCTTCCCTGGCCTTTCGGAGCAGACTCCAGCACGAGGGCGACGCTCCCGCAGGAGCCGGAGGGCGCGGGAAGGAGGCAGGTGAGAGAGGGAAGGCGGGAGGCCCCGCGCGGCCTCGGCCCAGCTCCTCGGGAAGAAAACTCGCCCTCCCGGAGCGCGCCGGGCTGGCCGAGCAGAGCGCAGACAGGGCTCTCGCCTTATTGTGAACTTGTAATGTCATCATCATAACGTTATTTATTTAAATGTAGTTATTTTGGTATTTAATTTTTTTTAAAGAGGAAAAAAAAAACCTGTATTTTCCTGGTGGAATGAAACAGCTCAGAGTGGTATATTTAGGCAATTTTAAAACATTTATTATTTACATAAAGACCAAATATGATAAATCTAAGCATTGTGTGTCAATCCACGGTATGGGGCTGTCACGTGTCACTGCAGATGCATATTAAAAGTATGGAATTCGTGCACACTAGCTGGATTATGACTCAGCCATTTTAAAAATAAAAGTGAACCCGTCACTCGAATGAGACCGTGTGTGTGACAATGCAAACTGCAGCCTGCGGAGCGGGCGGCGCCTCCGTGCCGCAGCCTGCGTCTCCCAGGCGCTCTGTGGTACCTCGGAACGTGTATTTTTGTCTTCTTGCTCAGAAGGTTTGCAATTTGCAAAATAACGTGGATTGTGCTATTTCCTGTGTGTGGGTCAGGCCGCTCCAGAGGGTAGGTCCAGACCTGCCGGTCATAGCCAGGAGGGAGACCAGCCCTCGCGCTGGCAGTAGATGAGCAAGCGATGCCAAGCAAGTGCACCGTCCTTCCGGACACGCGTTTACACAGCGGCGCACGTCAGCACCCAGGACGTGAGCTCAGCCCGTAAACCGTTTACTTCTGAGGGAGTTTCTGTTGGGATCACAGGTAAGGAAAACGCCCGGCTCTCAAATGTTAAAGACGGGAGGAGGCTGCGCGCCGTGGGCCGTGAGGCATCTCCTCCCTCTTGCGCCCAGACCCGAGAGCGCCGTTCCAGGCTGGCGCCAGCTGCTCCTCTGCCTCGGTCCGTGGGAGGGTGAGAGCGTCCAGCAGAGGCAGAAACCAAACTGTGGGTCAGCAAACTGCCACCCAGGTTTTCTCGCCGGTCTTTAAGGCACTGTTTTAAATTTTGGATTTAGCTCTGACTTCCCCAAAGCCCTCTACCCACGCCAAAGACTGCAGAGATACTGTCAGAGCAGCCCTGGTGGCGATGCCTGGCTCTCGCCGGGCTGCCGGGAGACGTCCTGTCTCACGTCCACCGTGTACAGCAGTGAATTCCAGCTCTCTACGGTGGTTCCTCAGTGTCTTACTTCCAAGAAGTCTCTGACCTTTGCCAAACTTCTGAGCTCCTCAGGGACTGGAAACTTAATTTCAGCAGCTTTGTCCTGAACCAAACAAGAACACAAAAGGGAAATTCACTTGTGACCCAAATTGTGTAGTGCGTTCCAAAGTGCACGTGGCGTGATGGTTGGGTGGGTCTTCTCTCCTTCAGTGTAGCACGCCCGTGACAACTGACCGCTCCGTCATTGTCCTCGGCTAGAGTAACAGTAGCTGGTGGTCTTGGTCAGAGGGGCTCGTGGGCAGCGTCGGGACTTGGGGTTTCTGTGCTGTGGGACACACGGGGGGAAGTGACAATCTTGAAGCCCTAATTTCCACTATTCTAGAAAGTATAGTAGTGATTTGTGTACAAAGATTTGAAATTTTAAAAAAGCACCAACTTCCTGAAATTCAATAAAATATTTTTATTAATTTTGATTGAATACAGAGTATGATTGTCATTTTGATAAACTTGGAGATTTCTGTTTGGCCTTTTAACATCCTGCTCTCTTCTGAGCACACCATAGGCCTAGAGTACTGGAGGGAGTTTACAAAGGAGCTGCGCTGGTACCAGTCGCGGAGGCTCTGCCAGTGGAAAGGGGAATCGAGTGTTTGTGTGGGGAAAAGCCTCTGCGTGGTGACAAAGTCTGGCTGATTTTATCTGTAGTTTTGAAAGTTATTTTGAATAGTGAGACCCCAGCTCTACAAACAATTTTAAAATTAGCCGGGCGTGGTGGTGCACACCTGTAATCCCAACTACTCGGGAGGCTGAGGCTGAAGGATCAATTGAGCCCAGGATTTTGAGACCAGCCTGGGCAACATAGTGAGACCCCCATCTCTAAAAAAAATTATTTTGAAATTGTGGTTGTTAATACCATTTCTTCTGCAGACCTGCCCTTCATCTTAAGGATCGAGATCATCGCAAGAACTTTGAGATATATTTTCTCCTGAGATGGAAAAGAAACCCTTCTGAAGAGGTATGTGGGTCTTCAAGTTCCCAGACAGTAACACTTCGATATTCCAGCTCCTGGGAACACTGCTGCGGACTGCTGACGCCCTGGTGTGTGCTGAACGTATCGGGATTAACCCCGGGGTCGTAGGGGAAGAAGTAGTACCGAAAATCATGACCTGGAGGTCCTTCGGGATCTACACAAACCTAACGTTTAGCGTTCACGGAGAGTTCATACTGGAGTCTTTTCCCTAAACTGATGCCTTACTTTAAAAGCAGTTCATATTAGCATAAAAGAACTGTTTATCTTACATGTCTGTCCCAAGAGACTGTCTCTTGGGACAAGAGCAAGCAGTCAGAGTTGTCACCAGGGCTCTGGTGCGTGTTGTGTCAGCAGGTGCTTGGACGCGGACTGCGTTAACGTCCCTGTCTCAGGAGAAGCTGCTCTGCTTACCCATCGGGGTCACTTTGCTGACGTCTGACTGAGTCCAGGAGGAGGTGACAGCTGCCCTAGACGACAGCCTGGCTGTGTCCAAGGAAAAGAGAAGGTGAGTGGAGGGGGCCTTCGGGCACAGGGACCATCTGCAGCTCTGGGGTGAGGTCTGCAGTGTGGCCAAACCCGTTGTTACCGCAGGGAGGCCGCGCGCCGGCGACTCACGAGCCTACGTAGGCGCGGTGACCATGCGGTAGGTTGAAATAGGCAGATGAAGGAAACCGCAGTGTGTAATGACTTGACTCCACCTGCCAGAGCTTCCGTAGCTGTGCTGTGCTGGGTCAGCACGCTGTATGGGTCCCTTTCTGCGCGTACGTCCAGAGCAGCACGGGATTGGAATTTAAAGTGGGTCCCAGGTGACTCTGATAAGTGTCCTTCCGAGGTGCCAGTGGGTGGACTCCACCCTGTCTCCCCCAGTGGTTACAACTGTCTCAGTCCAGGGGGAAGGAAATAATACATAAATAAGTCATAGGCAGATCAGGGCAGGGCGACTGAAACCAGAAGAGCCACCAATATGGTGATAAGTTTCCCTGAATTTTCTTCCTCTCACACTGCCTGGCCTGCACGAGGACAGCCTGGGCGTCAGAACTGCGTGTTAGGGACGAGGATAAAAATACACAGAGACACCCTGTCCCCTTGCCTAGGGGGCGCCCGTGGGGCAGACGCACTCCTGCAGCAGGAGGTTTGTGGACCCTGGGGACTCAGGAAACCCTGTACGCTGAGGAACTGGGAAGCGGAGCACCCGCAGTCCAAAGAGGGCCGGGAGAACCCCTGCTTCGCTTTGGCCCCCAGCTGGGCCCAGTCAGCAGTGAGGCCCTCACAGGGACTCTGCAGGCTGAGCTCGTTAACCAAAGGGAGAGGGGCAGTGGGAGCGCAGGAGGGCGCAGCAGAGGGGAGGCTGCCCCAGCGACACGCGTGGAGCCCACCCACGAGGCGCCGAGGCTCTGAACCGCGCGGCCGGCGCCGGACGTGCAACAGCGCAGGCCTGGATCGCGCTGCAGCCTGGAGAACTGAGCTGACGCCAGACCGCGGCGCAGGAGGTGGCTCAGCACGTGCGGTCTGAGCAGGACCAGGCTCTCCGCCTGCTGCACAAAACCATCAACATCCCCCGAGGGTTTTGATAGGACTCGGAGCCGCACAGCACGCAGATGTCCAGGGTAAAAATTAACATACACAGCCAGAAAAACCTCGGCCCTACTGGGAAAAGAATGGACGTCAACTGCAACATGACCCATGTTGGGAGTATTAGACAAAGAACAGTTATCTCAACCGGGGTCATGAAATAAGAGCAAATCCTCCTGAAATGAACCAAAACTTACAGAACTTAAAGATAAGTGAAAAATTCAGTGGATGGATTTCAGAAAAACATTTGGAAATAAAAATGAACCAAGCCTTAGGGACTTGTAAGACAGCACCAGAGGGTCCAACGTGTGTGTCAAGAAAGACGTTGGTGTAAAAAAGTTTTTGAGAAATATTTCAAATAAATACTTTAACTATTTTAAATATTTCAAAACCTGAATTTAAAGATTCATAAAGCTCGATGAACTCCAAATAAAAGAGACTTAAACCATGTTGAGACAATCAACTGCAGAAAAGTGAAAAGATTTTTTATCTTGAAAGTAGTCAAAGAAAATTGATTTACACAGGTTGACAAATCAAAAATCTGACAAATAAAAAATCAAAAATGCTCCAAAATCTGAAATTTTACGGGTGTCAACATGCTGCTCAAAGAAAATGGTCATTGGAGCATTTTGGATTGTAGATTTTCAGATGAGCGATGCTGAACTGGCGAGTGTAATACAAGTATTCCACAATCCAAAAAATGCACGTTTTCCCAGAACACTTATGGCCCTAAAGCACACTCTACTTGTGTACATAGAGGATAACAGTAATTCAGATAACTATGGATTTCTTACCAGAAACCATGAAGGCCAGGTGACTGGAAAGATTTTTTTAAAGGGCTGAAAGAAACTTGCTAATCTAGAGCATTACATCCATCAAAAATATCAGGAATGCTGGCTAAAAAAGATATTCTTAGACGAAGAAAAACAAAGACAAGAAATGCCAAAGGAACTTCTTCAGGCGAAAGCAGAGTAAACGTGCAACTTT